AGCAAGGCAATAGATTACACTGAGGTAATCAAAAGTGGATGTGGAGAAAAAAAAGTGGAAGAAAAAAGTTCTGAATCAGAATCACAGAGCTATCTAGCTTGGAAGGGACCCCCTGAGGGTCTGAAGGAGCTGGTACAGTTCAAATGGAAGTTAAAGATTCAAGAAGAAATTTGTGGTTAAAGATCTATTGGCTTTTTGCAACAGAACGATATTATTTTTAAGTCTCTTAGGTACCATAACTTACTTATCTATGAATCTGCTCCTAAAACAAGAAGTGTTACAGGATTTAACCTTGGTGGGACAAACTTCATTGACCCTTGACTTCAACACTCTCATCATAGTACTGCTTCCAAAATCTGTCTCATAGGAAATTGGGACAAACACTCTATTTAGGGACAATTCTGTTCAGGTATTTTATTTGTTGTTCTTCTATCGCTTCATTTCTTTTCCTAACACAGAATTAAAATGAGTATTTGAGAAAATCATCTGTTGTTAGAGTTTGTTTCTCCCTCTAAAGTCATCAGATTCCAGATCTGCTACTAAACTTGCATACTGTGAAAATTGTTTATGTGGTTTTAAAGGTCATTTTGATGTCACAGTAGATTTTATATTTAGTAGAGAAACAAATAAATAGTGCTTTAGCCAAAAAAAGTACTATTTTCATACATGCACTTTCCCTAACAAAACATTATTCCTGTCAGTAGGATTGCCTGAAAAGACAAGTTTTGACAAAGATTCTGTAAAATATCACTGGAATTGTCTTAGTGTTATTTAAACAAAAATGTGCCTGGATTTATCGTACGGAAACAACAAGCATTGGATTCCATGCAGAGAGAATTATTTACTGTTCCCGTGGCTCCATCTTGTGGCGATCAAACCTCCCGCACCAGTCCTTTGTCAGCACCGTGTCATCCACCGTCTGAGCACTCCGAGGTGTTACTTACACTGTCACCAGCTCAGAAAGGTCAAAACAGCTTTAGTCTTAGTGATGTCTCCTGCAAGTCAAGACCCGCATGATCTCGTTCTTGTGAGAACTTCTCAAGGTGAGGAGCATTTAATGTGCTTTACATAAGACCCTTCACTTACCTGTGAGCAGACAGACCAAAACCAAGTTATTTTTTTCTCCCGCTATATTTACAAAACAGGAAGAAGAAACTCATACCTTATAGACACATTAATTCCAAATATATCAGAAAATCAGAATTTGATGCCAGGCTTTCTGAACCACACAGACCACGCAGCGAGTCCTGCAGCAGCTTTCACTACGTGTGATTGAACTAAAGCATGTCTTGGACTGAAACATTGAAAATCTAGTGTAGATCATTTTGAAACCTCTTTTACAATTGCATTACAGTTCTAGGGTCCATTTTAATTGATATGACATCCCTTAAGCATGATTTTGACATACCTGCTTCTGAAGTACATGTTTTCTGCAGGTTGCATTATTAATTATATATTCATTGCTATTCACCTCCCCTTTTCTGTTGGCCAGCTGTAGACTGAAAGACAGACAGATAAACAAAAGAGTTGTTTGTTTTTTTTCCAGTATTCAAGTTGTAGCTTTATTCCCTAACTGGACACTTACAGGGATTTGGGCAACTATCAAACTAGTCTCAAAGTAATAAACATATTCCTGGCCTACTGATCTTACAAAAAGCTTCTCATTTCATGAAATGCTCCCTTGTTAAGTCCAGCAAACTTTTGGTTGTAATCCATTCAGAGGAAAACTTTATATTAGTTTGTGCTATTGCTTGATCCTGCTTAGGTTAGTACTTAATTAGGTCACTAGAACTTTTTGGTACTGGTAGCAAGAGGCTTTTGGAACTTACACTGAATCCAAATATGCCTTGGTTTTCCTAGGTAGGTACTGGAAAGGCCCCATTTTCTGATGAAACTGGATTGATTGATAAGTGTCTTCTCTCACCTTTAGCTTCATTTTCTTTGCTTTCCTTCCTGAAACAAAAGAGCTTTGTTTTACTTTATCTAAGAATTGTCCCCTCAAAAATCTGTGATCCCTGAAAGCTGTTCTACATATATTTATTTCTTCATTATTAAGCACATCAGTCATGTATACAGTTGCTGTAAGACTCTGGTATTTCAACTCGCTGTAAATAGTTTAGGGTAAGAATAAACTTTTTGTTATTTTTGGTGATGCATCATGCAATATGGACAGCACCTCAAGCATTAAGATTGAAATGCAACCACATATATGTTTTAATTATTCATAATTCAGACAGCTTTTCCTTTGTTAATGATTTGAGTCTTTTCTTCCACATATACTATACTTTTATTTATGTCACATTTGCCAGCTTTTTTACCAGCTTTTTTATGTTTTTTTCCAATTGACTTAAGCATTATTTCTACACCACTGCTGAAACCAGGAAGATTGTCGGTTTGCTTTCCCAAAGGCCTCAACCATATCCAAAGTCATGTGCTGGAAATGTTTGGGGAATGCTAGTTTTCTGTCAAACTGGAAAAAAAGATAAAAATGGTTTCATGACATGGCATTTAATTTTCTCTCTGAAACATATCTCGATGATATACAGTATGTCATAACTATGTGTGAACTCAGCACATTACATTGAAGCATTTCGGTACGTAAGACAAAGAATAATTTTTTTTTTTAAATCACAGTTTTACCATAACCAGACAGGTCCAGAGGTATTCAGTGATTCTCCACATTTTAAAAAATTATTTATAAGGCAACCTTGCTGTTTCATCTGTAGTTTCAAAATGGTTCAGTTGGCAAGAATTGAGCTCGATGGCCTTCTGTATTTATTTTCCTCTTGATGCAAAAGAATGAAGTGCTGATCTGTGTGTCTTCATACTAAAGGATGGGATTGGGGTGGGGTGATTGCGCTTTTTTATATGTTACTTGTTGCTAAACAATTTGGAATAATTTTTCCTTACTTAAATACTGCACCCACATCTATCAGCTCAATGAGAATTTATCCATAAAATTCCAGAAGCTCCCTTATGAGAAAAGTATACTAATGGCTCTGGCTCTAATTTTGTAGTTGCCGCACATCTTTTTGAGCTGTTTTCATCTTTTTTTTTTTCCTAGCTTGTATTCCTTCCTTCAGCTGTTCTGTTGTGGTGATCTTCTTGTTTTAAACTTTTCAAAGAGAAGAACTGAAGCAGTCTCCAAATTTCTGCAAGAAAACCCTTCTGGGTTACTGTTTTCTTTGGGTTTATTTCTGACAAGATGATAAATATGTTCAAAATATATTTTTACTTTGAGTTCAGTATAGTTTCAGCATAAATGTTAACACAGTAATAACAACACAATTTACACATTGGGAGAGCAGAGATGTTTGACTATGTATATTTACTTCTGCTATAGTACTCTTAATAGCATAGTTTTCAGCCTGAGTCAATGTGATTGCTTTCAATGCTGTGTGTTCAGCAGGTCTATTATTCAGCTAATAAAAGTGAGGATATGCAGAATACTGATATGCCAGTGATAAACACAAGGGTGTGTTTGTGAGTGTGGAACCTGAGGCACTGTCCTTGATGATCCGTGGGGACGAGTGTTTTCAGGGATTGCCACAGCAGGTTTAACACGAGCTGGAAGCCAGCGTGGAGGACAAAGATCCGATGGATTTAGCCTGCACACAGCGCATCAGCAGCTCCCTGTGCCTGGCCGCCAGCCTGGTTTCATCCTGTGTGTCCCTGAGGGGACACAGGACATGGGCTGTGATGGCAGCGCAGGGAGGTCCCAAGGGACCACACGGAAGGAGCGGACAGTCTTAAACTGCACCAGGGGAGGTTCAGGTTGGACCTCAGGGGAGTTTCTTCACAGAAAAGTTGATTAGACATTGGAATGGGCTGCCCAGGCAGGTGGTGCAGTCACCACCCCTGGAGGTGTTTAAGGAAAGAATGGATTTGGCGCTTGGTGCCGTGGTCTAGCTGACCTCGTGGTGGTGGGTCACAGGTTGGAATCCAAGAGGTCTTTTTCAACCCAATTGATTCTCTGATTTTGTGACCACCCACCTGCAAGGCTCAATTTTCCCACATATTTTAAGAGTGTGATGTATTTTATAAAAATGATGAAGTGCTGATCTGTGTATCTTCAAACTAAAGGATGGGATTGGGGTGTGGGGATTTTTTTTCATATGTTACTTGTTGCTAAACGACTTGGAATAATTCTTCATTATTTAAATCTTGCACCCACATCTATCACTTCAATGAGAATTTACCTATAAACTTCTGGAAACTCCCTTAAGAGAGAAATGTAGCAATGGTTCTGGCTCTAACTTGGTAGTTGCCTCACATCGTTTTGAGCTGTTTTCATCCTCTTTTTTGTTCCCCTAGCTCATATTCCTTCCTTCAGTTGTTCTATTACAGTGATTTTCTTGCTCCGAAAGGAGCTCTAAGGGACCGGGACATACAATTCGCCTACGTTGGGGAATTTCGCCTCAGGAGCGGCGGGGCGGGGCCGGGGCGCGCGCCCGCCCCTCACGGCCACCTTGGCCCCGCCCTTTCCTCTTCTCTCCTCCCATTGGCTCCTCCGCGCCCGCTCTCCACCAATCCCCAGCCGCGTTCGGCAGCGCCGCTCCTTCCCCTTCCCGCGCCCGCTGCCGCCGGCGCAGCCGTTAGACCCGCCCCTCCTTAGGCCCGCCCCCTCAACGGACGGCCCGTTATTGGCGGGCGCGGGCTGGGGCGGGGCCGGGGCCATGGCCGCCGCGGGGGCTGCGCGGCGCGCAAGGTGCCAGCGGGGCGGGGGCTGAGGGCGCGGGGCGGGCTCGTCCGCGGCCTCACAGACCCGGCTGTACCCGGATGGGGTGAGGGGAGCTGCGGGGGTCTCTCTCCCCATCCAGTAACGACTCCCGCGAGCGGTCGGGCCTTCCGGGGCCCACCCGGCTCCCAGCGGGGCGCGGTGTCCAGCTCTGAGCGAGTCTCGCATGGAGCTTCTGGAGCGGGTCCGGCGGAGCGCAGCGAGGATGGTTGGGGGACTGGAGCATCTCTTACGGGGGAAGGCTGAGGGAGCTGGGTCCGCTCAGCCTCGAGAAGAGACGGCTGAGAGGGCACCTCATCAATGTGTATAAATATCTAAAGGGGGGAACAGGTTGCACAGAGAGGGTGTGGAGTCTCCCTCACTGGAGGTATTCCAGAACCGTCTGGACACGATCCTGTGCCATGTGCTCTGGGATGACCCTGCTTGAGCAGGGAGGTTAGACCAGAGGACCCACTGTGGTCCCTCCCAGCCTGACCCATCCTGTGACTCTGGGAGTGTGTGAGGGTTCTTCCACCCTGTGTGCACGTGGTGTGCGATCCTTAAAGTCCCCAAGGTTCAGGTGGGTATTTGTTGAGTTTGTACATCAGCTCTTGGACGTGTCAGTAAGTGAATCACTGTATCTATAGAATGCTGTGGAAATTATCAAAGCATCATGCTTTGTAAAGGCACATTTTGTGAAATGAAACCTACAAGTTTAAGGCCCTGGTGGCAGCAGTTACCCCCTCCTTGGCCTGGGAGCTGTAAATTGCCTTGGACTGATCCACTTCTGCAAAAGTTCTTAGAACTGGGGGGCAATGGTAGTCTTCAAGTATGTTGTGAAAGTACTTCATGAAAATCAAAGTGTATTTCTGTAATCAACAGGGTTTGTCCTCTGGAAGGCTGTCAGGAGCAGTTAAGCTAACAAATGGAAGAAAACAGTAAGACTTTGATCACAAATACTGTTTAAGATTGAGTGCATGTGTGAGTGTTTGGGAATCTTATACTTGTCACACTGCACAACTAACCAAAATTTGTTGTATATGTAAAGAAAAGGTTTTAGCTGAAAGTCAGTATGGCCAGGTTCTAAGCAGCCCATTAACAGACAGACACAAACTGAATAGAAATTTTGCATGCAAAAATAGAGAGTTGACTCTGCATATGTTTTATTTGTAGTAGATTGAATTTTTATAATTGCTAGCTGTATGTAAGATTGTTGAATGGAGACTGAATTTGCTTTTGACTTCAGCTGTTATTGTCGGCTAAATGTGTTTGTTGCAGCCATGCAAAGTTTTCAGAAAGTGAAAGTTATTTTTTTCTTGATAAAATTTTTCAGGGTTGGCTTAAGGAGAGGATGTTATTCTGATGCAGAATTCTTTTCCACCGACTCTGACAATCAGGTAATTAAGTGACATTTTAATACAATCTGTTATCTAAAGAGAAGGGAAATTGTAATACCATGAGTAATAGAAGAAAAGCAGGTTAATCTGAACCTGAAATAGCTCCTGCAAAGCAAGAGAGTCTGTACTGCACCTTGCAGATTCAAGCAAGTTGGTTTTGTGTGCAGTGACTTTGGCTCTGACAAATCTCATTAAAGCACGGGATACATTTTGCAAACACAAATGTGCTGCTTGTGGACGGGGGCTGATCTTGGCAGAACAGACACACTTGTTAAGTTTTTGTGCTGAAAAGAGCACAAAGAGTGGTATGGAGTCAGTGCTGCAGCACTGGGATTTGTGTAGTGCTGAACCAATTGTCTCCAAAGTACAAATAGGCTGTAGATAATAGTTTAACTGTACATGGAAATAAGAATTAGAAAAAACACACATGCAGTTACCAAGACACAAAATCCAGCAAATGGACATGGTGCAACAACACAATTTAGTTATTTTGTGAAATGTACATGTTTGCAAAAGTCCATATAATTGTAAAGTAGTATATGGAAAACTTCTTTCTGGTTATCAGTTGTTCTTTGTCAGGTGACAGAGTGGAGATTACTCCCCTCAAACCTGAGTTTACTGAAAGAAAACAGTGGTACTCATTTTCTGACTGCAGTGTTCTTTGTGCAGGTTGATGCTATCCATGATGGACTTGACCAGTGTGCAGCTTTACTGAAGAATTTCATACAAAATGGGGCTACAGGTTGTAGCTATTGAAAATGCAAGTTACATTTTTAGGTTTCGTAATACTCTCTTGATTTGTTTTGTTGACTGTTTTTTCTTTCAACTAATACTAGGAAAGGAGGCTATCCATAAACCACCTGGGAAAGCACCTACTTCCAAGCCTTTGCTAAACAAAGGAAATACTTCCAAGAAGAAGGGGTTAGCAAGAAATGTTACTCCTGCCCCTGTCCGAAAAGAAATTCGTAAGTGGGCTTTCTTGGGCTTGATTTTTTTCTTGAACAACGTTAAAAGACTCCTCAACTTACTGAGATACGGCAAGGCTTCAAATAATTGTTGCCATTTGTTATGGGCCGATCCCAGGCTGAATCCACAAAAGGGTGTAGACATAAATTACTGTTTCTTAAAACCTTAAATGTTTAATAAACAGTTACTGAAATTCACAAATGTTTGAGTTACATGTATAAGAAAGAAAGTTGAGTGCATTTACGAATCTGCCAGACAACACAATGGGTTTGTGTAGCTCGAGAAGACAGGCAACTTCAGGTGGGTTTTTGTTCTTTATTTCTCTGCAGTGCCAATATCAAATAGAAAATTTCCTTCGTCCACCACACCTTCTGCTAAGAAAGAACTTTCCAGTGCAGCACAGAATCAGATGGTTCAACCTATTCATGTGCCTTGCAGTCAACAGTCTCCTGTGATGTATCAGAAACTATGTGAGCATGTGGAAACTCAGATGTCTCTGATAACTGGCCAACCACCACAGGATAGTAATGAAATTCCTACTATAACTCCTTCTCCTACCTCAAATCAGGGTTAGTGGAACTATTAATGTAGAGCTGACTATTTAACTGCAAGAGTTTTGCCCCAAATTTCCCTGATCTCTGCTGTTTTCTTTCAGGATGTCAAAATGTTGCAGCTTTTAATTATCTGTTACCTACGTCCACATCAGGACTGTCCCTGCAGCATTCAGCTAATCCCTTGACTACTCAGTCAGTAAGTAGAAGTTTGATTCTAACTATTAATAAACATACTGAATTAGCACTGCCTATTTATTTATACATTTAATTTTGTCAGTTTTCCTAATGCTTTTCCTTTAAAAAAATTGCATATTTCAATCTGTAACGATGAACAAAATAAATAGAGAAAATATCACTTTTCAAAACACATCTTGTATAGACACCAAAAAATGGAATTAGAGGCATTTCAACTGGCTGCTTGTTTCTGAATGGGGAATTCTGTAATGGACAATAAACATGGAAGGTGCAGGAAATTACTGATTACTGTTAATGGCATTCTCAGTAATGCACATTAGGATCATTAACCAACTCCTGATAGAAGAAATCATATATCAAATGGAGCTTTTCCCTGCCAATGATCAAGTTAATAATTTCTTCAGACAGTCTGTATTATCTTACAGGCACATGTTAAAATGCCTGTGTATTTCAGGGTATAGAATAGAACTAATGGAGAGAACCAGCTGCCACCTCAGGAAATGTGGTAGAGGGCTTGCACCTTGAATCTGTAAGACTGTAGACTTACCTTCCATCTGCGGGCAGTCCATGTGTAGCTAGTGCTGGCCTTGACTTTTGAAATTCATCTGCTTAAAATCTTGAAAGGTAACAGTGTTGTCCTTTTTTTTTTTTATTCTTTCTTCCCTGTTCTGGATGGATTCAAGAAACACCGCTGAGGTTTTTTTCTTTATAGAACACTTGAAAAAGAACTGTGCTTTAATGTTGCCAGTAACATTTAAGATAAAGACAATCTAAACCAGATTTACATTTTAATTACTCCTTATTATAGAGGAAAATTATTCAGTTAATAATTTGTTCTTATAACTAGTAAAGAATGATCGAGACTACATTGAGTCAGACAAGAGTAGTGTTGTTTGTTTTTGGTTTTTTTTAAAGATTTAGAAATTATGTTAATTTTTTGTTTAATTTGAATATTCTTTATGCAGGGTGTTCCTGTAGATAGTGCCAGTGAATGTGTGCCAGAGATGGGAGGACCTGTGGTTTTCCCAGTAGTTTCTGCTGCTCCTGCTGTACAAGTGCAGTCTGGCACTGCTCTTCCTAGTGTGGTCCCTTGTATAGCACCAGTTCCTTCGATCCCTACAGTGCCTACATTGATCCCAGCATCTTCTGCCAGAGAGATGACCCCAAGCCAAGAGCACCAGACCAAAGAAGCAGATTTGATAAGGTGCATACAAGCTCACCTGGCCCTGTTACAATCACGGGAGGGACTGAATGGCAGCACTGAACAGAGGTGCCATCAGCATTGTCCAGCACAACATGATGGCTCAAGTGACACGGAGGAGGATACTCCTGAAGAGCACAGTGAGGATATGGTCAGTGAGGAAGATGAATTGAATGTCCTTGACATAGCTCCAGTGAGAGATACAGGCTGTAGGACAAGTTGTGTGAAGAAAGTTCTTAAATCTAGAAGAGAAAATCCAGAAGAAACAGCCCATAAAGTTATGACTGTAAAATATCTTTTGGGTGAACTCAGAGAACTGATAACAGATCAAGGTGAGGACATTTTTGTTGTGCAGTGGAGTTATTACGTACAAATAACACAAGAGCTCTGTTAAATGTGAGCACTTCAGTTTCTGCAAGTTGTGTGTGTCAGATGGTGTGTGACATCTTAGCATGGTTTTCCACAAGAGCAATACCTTCAGGTTTCACTCTGCATAAGTATTAAATTTGTTTTTGGACTATTTTAACATTATCATAACATCTGGGGTAAGGATTGTTCCTATTTCATATACAGACCTTTCTCCTGAGAGAGGGCCCAGTGTGGACATGTTGCAACAGCAGTCCCACCAAGGCTGGTTGGAGAGATGCTGACTTGTGTTCTATTGAGGATGTAAAGCATAGTTTTCATAGTCAAGCATAGCAATTTTAAATAAATATAGTTAAAGATTAGATTTTCTTGGGAAAAAAAATGTAGATACTAGTAAAATACTTTGTAGATTGCTTAATCACATGTAAAATATTACTGTCATATTGCAGCTTTATAGGTTTATTGAATGTCCTTTTTTCCCTCACCTCTTGCAGATGATTCAGAAATGCTGAGGTTGATGAGTGAAATAGAAGGTTGCATATCATTGCTCCCAGCTGTAGTGGGAAGTACAAACATCCAAGCTGAAATAGCACTGGCTTTACAGCCTCTCAGGAGTGAAAATGCCCAGCTGCGCAGGTCAGGAACTGTCAGCGATCCTGTGCTTACTGCAGATGTGCCTAAAGCATCTTTAATTGGCCTCTTCTAAATTGCCTGTGTTCTATCATTGTCATGGTAGACATGTTAGGGCTCTTCCCTATTTATGTACTAGAAAGTGTGTTGGTAAGGCTGTATACCTTAAAAATAAATAACTAACACACAGCAAGTCTTCAGTTAATACCGATGTCTTAATAGTGTCGGTTATCTCATGATTGGGCCTTTGGCTGGGTGGGATCAATGCACTGTATCAACATAGTTAGCCTGCTCATATTCTTTTTGTAGACCATTCTCAAATGCAAAAGTGTCTCTCATTTCAGGGGAGCTCTCAAATGCATTACTGAGTAGCACTTGACTTCAGAACAGGGGGAAGGATATATACCAGAATGTGCAAAGGGTCTTTTGTGTTGAAGAAGTACATGTTATTAGAACTTTTTTATATTTCTGAAACATTCCATGACATTTAATTCTCAGTAGCAACTTTTTACCAAACTAATTTAAAGTGCAGTGCTTTTGAGCTAATTCTAATACTTCTGAATTTGTGCTTTTTCACAATTCACATTTAGGAGACTAAGAATATTAAACCAGAAACTCAGGGAACAAGACACCAGTGAGAAGAAATCTGGACAGAGCTGCAATTATGAATGTAAAGTACTGATAACCTTGTTTGTCAGGGGGATATTTGTTACAGCTTTATTTCAATAGATACTGTTATTTTTTATTTCTATATTTGTATCTTCCTATGTCTGTATGTATTGCAGCCTTTAGTGGCAACCAAACTAAGTGTTGTGGGTCTAATCATGCAGCTGCATTTGCATGGACTGTTGGACCTCTTTAGGCTCCACAGTCAGACTTGGCTCTTCAGCTGCCAAGCAGATTATTTTTCCTTATGTGCCTCTTAAAATGAAGATGACAGATAATTAAGAAGAAAGCTTGAGCTTTATCTTGCTGCTGCAAGATACAATCTATTTGTAACCAAAATGCATATTACCAAGATTATTTAAAAACTTAGTTTGGTTTAGCAATTCAAACTACCATACAAAACACTTAAAGTTTTTATGTTTTACTTTTGGTAGTAGTTTCTTTGCAGTCCTTGAATATGATGCTCCAGAGTCAATTGAAAGAATCGCAGAAAGGCCTTGATTCACTGCAGGCTAAAAATGAAGAACTTCTTAAAATAGTAGAAAGTCAGAAGGAAGAAAATAAACATCTTGCAAAAGTTATTCAAGATAAAGAAGAAGAATTGCTTGAAAACAAACAGCATTATGACATTCATTCCACCAAGCTCAAGATTGGTACGTGTTTTCAATTTGGTTATTCTTTGTTTAATGTTTTAGAACTAAAATAATTAGGTAAATTCTTCTTGGCATTTCAGAAGTGGAAGAAGCATTAGGAAGTGTGAAGAGCCTTCAGTTTAAGCTGGAAGCTTCAGAGAAAGAAAATAAGATTTTGGGCATAACATTACGTCAGCGGGATGCCGAGGTTAAGAGACTGCGGGAATTAACCAGGTGGCTAAGCCTTTTTTTTTGCCTCTTGACATTGGTCTTTTTTGGTTTTTTTTTTCTTTTTTTTCCCTAGTTTTTTCTTTTTTTTTATGCTGTGGATTACTGTAATCTTAGTATCTTGGTGGTAAGAGGTAACACAGGCTAAAACTTCTCTTGGTAGTTACTTTTGTAGCAATGGTGATATAATTTTGTTTAAACAGAGTTGTCATATTCCATGACTTGAATTCTGTGGTAAAGTAAAATAATATTTGCAGTAACTTGTGTGAAGTTTTAACTCTTAATAGCAGATCTGGCAATAAATTGTTCCATGGGAAGGGCAAGGACCTGAAAACATACTGATACTTCCTTTGAAGGTGTAGAATTTGGAAACTAACTCTTAACCTGAATTTTTTTTTACACTGGTTTAGATATTGGTCTAGTTTTGAGAACAACTGGCAGAGAAGATCTACCTTCAGGACCCACAGCAAGCTCTTCCTGTGGGAATGAGCAGTCCTTTCTTTAACTGTACAAACATTTGAAGTAGATTATGCCCAGATATAATTATGGGTAGAGGTAGAAGTTCTTCAATCACTGAATGAAGGTGGTGTTACTCACATTTATTTTTTTTTTAGAACTACTATTGTGAATTTATTTTGTCACAGTCTTTTATGATAAAAATAGCAGCAAGCTGGGAGACATAAATAGGGTTTTGCAGATGCATAGTGGTATGCACAAAAAATTGGTTTGGACATTCTGTGTACAGGAAACAAAACTGTTGTTTGTCATGCTTATAGTTGGTACTGATGGAAACAGCAGAATATTTTTAATCAACATTTCAAATTATTCAGTAGAATTTTAGACACTTCTGTGGCTGCTATACTGACCACCAGATGGTGGTATAATAATGTCTTATTGCTTGTGTTTATGTATCTGCTATAGACTTAAGCATCTAAACATGAATTGCTTTTGATGTACAAAGCAAAAAATTAGAAGAATTATTTCCTTTATAATGTTTTTTATAATATTTTTAGATGTAATCGGAACAATAATTCAGGAAACATTTTGTAGGGATTTTGATAACTTCTTCTATCTGCTTTGAACAGTTTCTTGGCATCAATTTATTTCATTTTATGCCACACAGAGTCAGATAAACCAGGAATAATCTGGAGACCTTCCTTGGGTTGTGCTATTCTAGGTGTTTTATAACCATACTGACCTGAAGAAAAGTTCAAGAAACTTGGAATTGATTCATGTTTGTACTACATTTTATGACAATATGTAGAAAGAGCATTGCCACAGTCTGATAAATCTACTGTTTTGGTCCTATAAAAAAGTTTTTAACTACTCTTTTTAGTGACTAATTTTGAACCTGTTGTATTGATCTTACCTAAACAGAACCTTGCAGGGCAGTATGGCCAAGCTTCTGTCTGACCTCACAGCGGACAACGTTAGACCCAAACCTGAAAAAGCTCTCTCAAAGTCTCTTTTGGAAGACCATGAAAAGCAGATGCAGCCTGAGCCATTTCCTGGGAGTACTGCAGTAATGACTTACCTTAAAAAATTAGAAATGGATCATGTTTTGATAGATACAGATCTTCAATTCGCAAATGAAAGTGGAAACAGGGAAATGCAAAATCTGGCCTATGAAAAGTTTGATGCTGAAGGAAGTAAAATAAACAGTACGTTCATAGAAGAAGGAACATCAGCTCCCAGAGCACTACAAACTTCATTGAACCAAGATGCAGAAACAATTAGTGATTCTGGGACTTTACTAGATGACCAAAACAAGTTGGATGAGACAATTTATATTCCATTGACTAGCAGTGCCTCTAAAAAACAGCAGCCAGTCTCTGACAGAAGTGGTGTGCTACCCCAGAGTAGAGGGGTTTGTAAAACTTTGGATTTCTGTGAGCTCCCAAGTTCTGTACCGCAGTGTGGATGTGAGCTATCAAAGGATCCAACTGTACTGGATAAGTTAAGTGCTGGGTACAGTGTGAAAAAGACTGTGGAAAACACTCTTGAACTTACAGGGGATAAAGCAAAGTTGGAAGGAGACAAAGTCCAAATGAGATCAAAAGTCATTCCAAGTGGAGCTGCAAAAGATTCCACAGATAAACCAGACCAACCTCAGCCTGGTACATACCCTCGTGTGTCAATGCCATTTCCAACAGAGATTTCTCAGAGAAAAGGTAGTAAACCAGCTGATTTTAGTTGCATTTCATTTGATGGTTTATCAGTGAGATCTGAGTGGAGTGCAACTTCTTTCTCAACATTTACTTCTCGAGATGAAGAGGACTTTAAGAATAGTTTAGCAGCCTTGGATGCCAACATAGCCAAGTTACAAAGGACTCTGCAGAGTAACATCAGGAAACAATGATTATGAGGAGGGGAAATGGGCTGCCCTTGTTCGGAAAAATTAGGTTTTTCTAAAGTATATTAATAAGTATGGTGCAGATATGTATATTTGTATGTAATAACTTGTGCTTAGCTGTTTCAGCTATGGATAGAATTTGTTCCTTATTAAGCTGTGGCACTGTTTCCCTTGATGTGTACAACTTGAAATAACTGGCTTTTTATATAAAATATAAATGTTGTTTGTTTTTTTTTTTTAATTATTACTTAGGTTTATACTCTTTACTTGCAAAATTAATTATACTTGAAAATTAAATGTACTTGTTTACTCATGGGGTTTTTTTCCTTCCCCTAAGAACTGTTGTAAGGTGCTATACATGAGCAAAAGGTTCCACAGGTAGAGGCCAGGGAAGAGGTGTCTACAGAGCAGCAGGAATGCTGAGAGTTACAGTTGCTAAGTCAGGATCATGCTATTCCAAAAATAAATGCAGCCATCATATGGGATTTGTAGTGGATGGTAGATCATATAAAATACATGAAGTAATCCTTTTTCACTCATCACTGATAAAACTCAGTTTTCTCTTTGGACCATTTTACTCAAAGGAAGAAGTGTATGGAGAGTTCAGGCGAGAGCAAGAGAAGAACTGTCAAAGTTCTGTTGCTTTCTACAGTTCTGTTTTAGGTTATACTTTTTACTAATGTTTGATTTTTATCTAAAGTAAAAGAATATAGAACCTGTGGATAAACACAGAACAAACAGGACGACACTGAGAAACAGAAGCAGCACAGCTGACACAAAGGAGACAAATTAGGAATTAGTGCAAGCTGGCAAACCAGTGCAGTTAGCAAAGCACCAGAATGTACAGTGTGAGGAAGCCATGGAAATTCCACAGTTGTTGAGATGTCAAACATCTACTGGGCATAAATACAGAGAGTCTGGACTGAATCACCCAGATTGACTCTCACAGGAATGGGAGCGGAAGGGGGAATGATTCCAGTCCGCTGTTCTCCCCACCAGGCCTTTCCACATCTCAGTCTCAAGAATATGCATAATATAAGTGTTTAAGGTACAGGTACAGGAAGGTGGTGTTATTGCCACCATTCTGTTCCCCTTGTGCTCTTAGCAGTGCTTCAGTGCTGTTTTTCAGGGAAAATATCTTTGGAAAAGAAACAGCAATATAAGAACCTGAATTTAAGATTGCTCTTTCTACAGAATTGCTTTTTTTTTTTTTCCTGGAAAACATTGCTGTGCTTCCTGGTACTGTTTTCTTGTATGTTTCCAAGTAGAAGAAAAGTCCCTCATGGTTAGTTGCTTGAATGAACACATTTTAAAGTTAGGATGCTGTCCATGCATTGTGCTGGGAAGCAGTTCTGTGATTATTTTAGTTACTGGTAACTGAGTCATACAAAGGTATGAAGACAACACATACTACAGAAGATGCCAACTGGCACTCCTGCTTCAAAAAAGGAAAGTTAGACTAAATAGTGACTTCAGTGATTTAGAATGCTTTTAAGGCTTGGCCTGGATTTCTTGGTACTCTCCACACTCCTTGTGTTCACATTCAATATAAGGTTGATGGTATGAAAGCTTTAATTAAATATTTACAAGCAGTTTCAGTGCAGAAGCTAAGCAAGATTTAAACTATTATTACGGTGGGGATTAAAGACAAGCTACAATAAATTCTAGTCTTTAAAACTCACAAGAAAGCTGAGGAAAGATGGGAAGAATATTCATTAATAGACAAACTAATTCAGTTTTCTTCTTGCAGCTAGGACTTTCTCCATTTGAAGGAGGGTATTTGTCCTGGCCAAAGATAGTAGGCAGCTGTGTTGTCAAGATACCCAAGCATGTTGTTCTTTGGTTGAGAACATTTATATTCACTTTTGTCTCAATGAGGGAAGATGTTACACCATCTTACTCCTGTCCTGTTCGTTGTCACAAAGTCAGTCCTATCAAAGCAGGAGATGACTACTGGAAAACCCTCTTGGGGATAATGACATATGAGCAGGTTTGAAATGTGTATCCGCTTGCAAGGAGGAGAAGCTCAGAAGAAGAAAGAGGAAGGAGACAACGTCTTTAATGTGGTTCTTTGTTTTGTACTCAAACATGTCAATCAGAACTATAGCATCCTAATGAATTATAAAACTTCCCATGTATGGGCATTATGAATGTGCACTGTTGTGGAAGCAAAATTCAACAAGATCAAATATCTAAGCCTCTTAAAGCTGGGAAAGGCTTCTAGGATTCAACCCAAAACAGGGCACTGAATCTGTGGAAATCAGCATAACTGGTGTTCTGATAGCCTCAACAGAAGGCTTACAAACTCAATTCTTTTAATGTGTGTATATAGTAAATAATCCCTACAGAAAATAAAGGAAATCCTAAATTTGCACATTTTGTCACATGTTTTGACCACTCAAATTTGCAGTCTTGCAAGTACATCCTAAATAAGATCCCAAATAATTGAGTAGAAAGAAATTTTTATCTTTGGTGCATAAAACAGTTTAAAAGTTATTCCTGTAATAAGGAGGTAAAATTCACTATGGACCAAAGGCATCACTTTTGTCAACACCAATGCTTGGAACATTGGAGCAGCTCAAGCTGCAGCACATATTTCTGCTCTTCACTGATCAGGATATGATGAATTGGGAGTTACTAGGATTCATCCTTGTTGCACACACATAGTCCTTAGGCCTGTATCTTTCATTGACTGAGTTAAATTCCTGATTTAGGTTACATTCCTGAGTTACATTTAAGAACCTTTCACTGTGATCCAATTGATTGAGCTGCCTGGCTTGATTCCAACGCCAAACTTTGTTTCCCCAGCAGCTAAAAACTGTAACTTTCTATTTGGAAGCAGGACAGACTTTTTACCTGTGTAAATCCAGCAGTCACACCAACCACCCCAATAAGAGCAATACAATCTTCATTTGACTTCTGGTTTTGGACACATCCCTACAATGAGGTAGAGGAGTCAAACTGTATTTACAACAGAATTCAAACTCCCTTTCTGTTTCAGGTTTGTTAAGGATACTTTAGGAGAGCTTGCAAGAGGCAAGAGAATACAATAATGAATTGAGCCACTGTGTCAGCTATACGAGTCATTTTCGTGTTGCACATGAGATTTTGCAGTTGTTTCTAAGGAACAAATAAAAGGTAGTCTTTAAATTCAGTTAGATATATTGTGTCAGAATAGTACAGACCTTCCTCAGAGCTGAGGGATCAGACAAAGGGCAGCCAGCTGTGGAGTCTGTTTCTGTAGCCAGGCTGTCACTCGTGTAAACAGCCATGAGATGTTTGGGGCAGTTCTGAAAGGAACCATCTCCTGTGCGTCTCAAAGCCTGTTCTTCCACACCCACTGTTTTACCAGGATCATGAAAAAAACAGCTTAAGATTTTGTTCCACTGCATTATAAGTACTCATAGTGTATTTTCAGGATTTGCAAAGATCTACAGTTGAACCTTAGGATACCAAATTGAGAAAAGCACAACTAGTTGGGCAGAGGAATTTATCACAGGTGGCTACTTGATCATACAGCTCAACAAGTATTCAGCAGGACTTTCCAGTTTGGCCAGAAAAGCTTGTTTCAGGTTCCATCCATCACTGTATCAGCCTCCAAATAAAAAGGATATATGAAACTGCTCTGCTCAACATGAAATCATTATTCTATGTTCAGCAATAGCTGCTGTGAATCATTTCTTCTGTTGCAAGGATAAACTTAGAAGTAACAGCTCAGCAGCTACAATATCAGTGATCATGATTAGATATTAGGAAAAAATTCTTCACTATGAGGGTGGTGAGACACTGAAACACGTTTCCCAGAGAAGCTGTGGATGCCCTATCCCTGGAGGTGGTCGAGGACAGGTTAGACAATGCTTTGGACAACCTGGTCTAGTGGAAGGTGTCCCTGGCCATGGCAGGGGGTTGGAACAAGATAATCTTTAAGGTCCCTTCCAACCAAACAATTCTGTGATTTTATGTGGCCTCCTCTAGATTTTTCTTGTAAACACAGAAGTTACAGGAGTTTCATTTTTACAAAGCATATTCTGTGAAGTTGACATCTGCACTTCTCAGTGGTGTGAAAAGAAAGGAACTCTTAAAACACATTTCATCAAGCTCTTAACAGTCATTTTCTTTTTATGAACACTTTTCCTTATGGAAAATAGAAAAGATTGGACAATACTCCTGAATACCTGAGTTTAACCTGTATGTAATTCCCTCCTCTGACTTCTTGAGCAATAAATGCCTGTAGTCTAGTGTCCCATTCCAAGAACTGAGGAGTGGTAATGGCTCCCTGCAGACACAGAGGATTGCTGTCTTACTACTGTGTCCAATTCCATCAGAAACTTCATAGGGAATGAAAGATTTGCTGAAGTGAAGCCAGTGCTGCATCTGTGTGTGTAAATAAGCTACCTGGGACACCGATTGTGATCAAGTGGCAACATCATGCAGTTGTGTATGGAAGGAAGGTTTTACAGCTCAATATTTTACAAAATAAATAAATATAAAGAACCCCTAGGGATTTCTGCTGGTGCCTCAAGTACATTTCTTAAGTCACTGACTTACTCAGGCATTCTTAACAAGGGTGATTTTTTTTTCCTTAGAAGGGAAAGAAACATTTCCCTTGTTAGATCAGAGAAACAGATTAAGGAAAAAAAAATTAAAAAACAATCATAGATTTAGTCACTGCAGTGATCCCCAAATAGCACAGAGAAATATTCAAGTTTGAATAGGCCAGCTAGGACAGGTCTGCACACCTGCCACTGCACCAGAACTTACACGGACAGATGAAAAATCTCACGTCAGATTTTGAGTATTAAAGCGGGTGTGAAAAACAATTCAGTCCAAACACAGATTTAGCTCTAAACCATCCTAGGTAGATCAGATGATCTGTCATGATCTGTTTCCAACTAAGCTCAGGCAGGTCATCTCAACTGGTTCTTAATCAAGATTAATGCAAATGGTGTTAGACAAAGTATCCATCTTCCCCAAAATTCAGGGAATCCCTTCCATAATTTCTTTACACAACACAGTGCCTGCAGAGCCTTTGATACAGGGCAGTCAAACTGAGGTCTTGTTGCTGAGCTCACTTCAGCATCTCTGCTTTCAGGTGAAGCTAAGAGTGATTGTAACTTGCATGACTGTTCCTATGATTTAGCTGTAACCAGCTGGAGCCTGAACAGAACAACCTGTCCTTTCCCCCAAGCTTCAATCACTATTGCAGATGACCAGGTCTTTCTGCAGCATAAGAACAGGAGAGAGTTTGATGGGCTTTTTTGAAGATGCACACTTGAGCACATACGGTGTCTACACACACTGTACATATGCTGAGAAATCTTTTCAGTAGAGAAGAAAGTAATTTCCTTAGTTTTTAGTCTCCAGATTTCTGTTAATCTGTGAAAATGGATGGTTTCTGGATTGTCTTGGCCAGTGTATTCACTATAGCTGTTTTCACTTGTTATTGCAGTGAGCTGAGGGAAAGGTACCTCTCTGTAAGCAGATGACACTGCTTTTCCTCCCAATGCTTAGTGGAAATGCCACAGTTACATGGTGATTTTTAGGGATGAAATCACATGTGAACAAAATATGTCAACTGAGATTTGGATTTACACAGGTGCTGTGGTCATACTTAAATGCATCATCAGTAAATGACTTCACATGCTGTTTGAAGAAAAAATACCAAGCTGAACTAAAAACACAGTGCTTTCACAGATATCTTCTGTTTATCAGGGCACAGAATGGAGAGAATATTATCCCACAGATACCTCTTGGCCCCACAAAATACTTCAGTCACAGTGCACAGTCATGCGACAACCCCCAGTCATGAGGTGACACCAGTAGCATTGCAAGTTCAACAGTAGTGACATAGGTTGAAAATCTCCTTTTTGCATGAATGTGAACATCCATTACTGAAGTTTTTACAAAGACAGTCTAAAACTGGTGCTTTACTGACTGCAAAAAGAGCAGCTTAAACTAGTCAGTGTAGTGGCCACCTGTGCTACAGTTAACATTATGTGGTTTATAGGCTCTTGAAGTATTTGAATGTCTAAAGACTACTTAGAAGTATTATTTCTTTTAGGACTCCTTGTTTTGTCCAAGCCCATGATGAATTCTGGCTACTTCTCTGCTGCAAACATAAAGCCAAAACATATATTTTCTTACTGCCTCCTCCCAGATTCTATTCTGTATTTAGAAGCTAGCGGTGATGGTTTTGGACTTGCAATTATGATATTAAGCTAAGTGTAAAATATTTTTCTTGGCATAATCTAGAATATAAATAGCTTTAACATCAGTTTCTGGTTTTCTTTATTCCCTAGGGAATG